AAAAAAAGAGTCAATATAGGGGCAGGGGGCAGATGTCAAAACACTTGTACAACTTTAAAATGTCACAATGAATTAAACGTGAGCTGGCTCCCACTTCCCCCCAAAAGAGCAACCTAAAATGATCCTAAAACAAAAAGTTTAGTAAACACGCACAAGCTAAAAAAAAACCATAACTACATTACCAAAATTTTCAGGTTGGGTTGAGGGAGCAGGATTTAAAAAAACAAAACAAAACAATCCTTCAGAAAGCTGGAAGGTTGCATGTACCCAGCACACAGCTTCAGGGGAAGATCAACATTTGGGGTTACTGAACCCAACCCTGGTGCGCCACCACACAGCCTCACTGGACAGGCCCTGGAGCTCCACCCACACGCTCAGTGCCCCCACTTTTCCAGTGTTGTGACAATTTAAAGGACACATTTACCCTGAACATCTCCAATTGTAACAGTGGATGCCTACACCGACTAGAAAACATTTTATTCCCAGCTTCCTCGGCAAGAACAAACACCACCAAGAAGAGATCGCTGTCTGAAGTCCTCACACCAGCCCCTGGGTTTGAGGGGACTTGGGGGCAACCATCTGAGAGGCAGGGAGGACAGCATTGCGCTGTCCCGCCCTGCTGGACCTACTGGAAAGCATCACCCCTTATTTCCAAGGACAAAAGCAACACGATGGAATTCCAGTCTGGGGCTGGGCCTGGGAGCAGATGGGCCCAAAACAGACAGCGTGGCTTGCTGCCACCTCCACAAGGTGTGCTGACAGGAGGGCTGGACCTCTTTAAGAAGATACAGAAAGTGCTAACCATAAGGAACAAGACTACATTGAAACTATAATAGGAGAGTTGGTTTATCAGAAATCACCACCAGCACAGCGAATGGACAAGCCACAAACAGGGAGACTTATGTGCAACATGTGTAACGCACAGACAAAGAACTTCTATGAACAAGCTGTAAGAAAATGGGCAACACTCAAGAGCATCCTCCAGAACAGGAAGCCACACACAAAGAGGCCACCTCCTCAATCAGGAGGGGCAGGCAGAGTCAGGCTACTAATCCTCCAGTGACACCCTACCAGGGCAGAGGGACAGGCTCAATGACAGCACAAGGAGACAGGGGAGAAAGCAGATGCCCCAATGGTGTGGCCCTGTCCACCTCAGCGGCCCCGCAGCTGCTTCAGGGTAAAACATTTTGGTTCTTCACGGCACTGAGCCACACTCTGGCCTCCGCAGCCTCACATGGGCACGTCCCTTCGCTGCAGACACTCTGGGCAGCAGCGCTTCGTGCCGCACGCATGCACACACCTTAGTGTCCACCTGCCAGAGCCACAGGATAAAGTATGCCCCAACGGTGGGCTGCACTGCGTCTTTGTTTTTCACAATGGGACAAATTCAAATTAAAGTCTTAAATAGTCACAAAAAAAATGGTGCTTTACGACACTTGCTGCCCTTACCCCATTAAGTGACCCAATACTCAAGCCTCTATCTACAAAGGCCTCCTTCTGCCCCAGCTGGCCACTCACCAGGCTCTGCTCAATGAGCAGGCAGAAGAGCACGGCATTGCCCACCTCCCGCAAGTTCTGGAAGCACACCGTCTTCAGCTCCGCGTACTCCACAATGTCCTTCAGCTGGTGGTGGAAGAACTCCAGGATGCCTGTGGGGGGCGGGAGCAGGGGGAGCTGCGGGGTGGATGCGGGTAGGGCACAGCCCAGTGGGGGGAGGGTGGGGCACAGCCCGGGAGCACCTGCGCTGGCCATGGGACATTCTGGCACTGTGCCTGCTGTGGAGCTGGCCACGTGTCCCCAGACCCCAGCATCTCCCTGCGGTGGTTTGTGTAGCACCTGGGCTCTGCACCTCAGCTGCAAAGCCTGCCTATCAACCCTGTATCTTGCGAGCAGGGGCCACACAACAAGAATAAACAAAGACCACATGGTCTTCTCCAGCACAGGCAGGAAAGGTACTTGGTAAAGTTCAGTATCCCTTCACAGGCGCAGAAGTAATGTACTTAATCTGACAAAGGACATCTACGAAAAGCCTGCAGCCAACGTCACTGTCAGCGGTGACACCTGCACACTGTCTCCTGGAGGCCCTGGACACAGTAATAAGGCACGAAAAGACAGAAGGCATGAAGGATGGGAAGGCAGTCAGCACTCCTTAACTTGAGCTACAATTCACTGTGACCCACAGAGCCCATCAAAAACCCACAAGCTGACTCCAGAATTGAGACAGTCACACAGAAGACCTCGAATAGCTCAAACAACCCTGAGGAGAATGAAGCTGGAGGTTTCACAGATTGCAAACTCTTCATCCCAACAGGTCAGGCCCCAAGTGCCAGTCCACAAGGACCCCACGGCCCTGCCTGCCTCAGAGACTGTCCCTTCCTCCCACGGTCTGCCCCCCAGTTCTCAACATTGCCCCCACAAGACCTCAGACCCTCTCAGGGAGGGAACACTCCCTCACAGTGTCATCCCCCAGGAGGCACGCATGAGCGGGAGGACTACCAGGGACAGGGCTTTACCCACATGGGGGTGCCCACGGACCTGGGCTCTGCCATCCTTCTGTGCTGACATGGGGTGGCAGCTGAGTGACAGACATGAGAGGTGGCCCCGCAGTCCACAGCTCTGCCCCAGACCAGCTTTGAATTTGGCCTAAATGGCTTCATCTTTATATTTAAAATCTCCATGTCCAGTCAGGATATAAGCACTAGTTTTATTGTCCCAACATCACTCATCTTCTTTCTGACAGTGAAGTTAGATTCTTCTGCGCGAGGCCACGCCGAAGCTTACTCCCCTTCGCAGTGGCTGAACGGTCACCTTGCCCTGTCCTTAAACACCACAGCCCTGGGTAAACAGGTGCTGGGCACCAGCTCGGAGCTCAGCCACACCGGTGGCCGACTGCTCATCAGAACAGCATCTCGTCCATGGGTCCAAGTCACCTAACCAGACAGTTGTCCAGCTTTCAAGAAAGTGTTATCAGATAAGAGACAAAAGGGGGTTTTCTTAAGAGACACAGTTCCTATAGTACAATTTTATCATGAACAAACTTTCTGAGACCATTAAGGCTATCTACCTGAATAGCATCAAATCAGCTTTCGTCAGGCAATAGGACCCAGCACCCTCAAGGACTCTCGGCAGAGAGGCCCCAGGGTGCCCTCCTGGTCCATTAAGCCCAGTAGGGCAGTGGGACCCAGCAGTCCAGCTCCCTGCTTCTCCCTGGTCAGAGGCCTTCAAGATCCAGGTGCCCGGTCACCCAGCATGACTAACAGAGGCTGCCTCACCCCTCACGCCACAGCTTCCTCACCCAAAACAGGGCCTCCGACACACCTTCGTGCACACCTGCTCCCAGCTGAAGGCCAGCTGGTTTGTTTCACTGGAAACAATCGGCTCTGGCTGGGCTCCCCACCTCCTCCAACCCAGAAAGGCAGATCCATTCTGATCAGGACTTGACACCGGCCCCACCCACGGCGCCCCACTCACCGGGAGAGCCGTACTCGTGCCGGGGCAGGCGGCACACCTTGGGCATCACCTCCATCAGCGTCTTCACGTACTGCAGGATTGTGCCCTGCAGCTGCAGGACAGACGGGCTGCATCAGCCACCGGCCACCACTGTCCCAGAGGCTAGGGGCGGTGCTGGCATGTGCAGAGGGGTCTTACTAACATGCAGATGACGAGCAGACTGAGGCTCACTGGCTGGGAGAGGAGAGCCCAGCCATGAAAAGAAAGCAACCTCCGAAAGGGTGACTGCAGGACTCTAAATGCACGTTCTAAAGCACAACTCCCCTTTACAGAGGCACATGGCCGAGGTGACAGTGGTGACCAGGGAGCTCTGAGGGAGGGGCATTCTCCCTGGGCAGGTTCTGCCTTCCTCTGATGGACGGGTGCAGCTCCAATACTGGGCCATGTCACCCTGTGTGCCTGCCAAGTTACCTCGTTTTGGGGCACAGACCCCCGCTGGGNAAAAAAAAAAAGATCTAAAAAGCAGCCAAAAATCATACTGTCTACCTAACAAGGAAAGCCGAAACAGTAGACAATAACCAGGAACGGTGGAGCTAGAACATAAAGGGAGAATAAAAACGGAATACTTAGTGTTTAACTGCCAGGCTGCTTCATTTCCCAATTAACATTTAGATTTATTTGGGGAATGAAGGAAAGCTGCACTGGGTTGTGAGAAATAGAAAGTAGGCTTTTTGCGGAGTGTGCACATACCACGTTTTTGATGACCTCGTCTTTCCCATCGTGTTTCTGGACTCGGAGGAGGTGGTAGCAGAAGTCCAGCACAGCAAAGCGCCGCTGCTGCCCGAGGAGGACGATGACCATGCAGCCTGCCCAGTGCAGCCCGTCGCCAAAGCACTGCCTGGAACCAGGAACGACAGCAGAGGCGCGGTCACTAAACCATGACCCCAATGGCAGTGACCATGCCAGGAAGGAAGCACCGAGCGGCCGGGCATGGCCCTGTTTGTGGGTCCCACTGGCACCGCTTCCTAACCTGTTTCTAGAGCGTGGACCCTCTGTGAGGAAGGATTTAGAAAGCTGTGGGCCTGTCTGGGGAAGGGGTGCCTGAAGCTGAGCCCTGAGCCAGCTGCTGCGCATCAAGTAGGACCTCCATTTGAGTGGCTTTAAAGCAGCTCAGCAAACTTTAGTCCATTTTCAGGGGAACACAGCTTCCACCCCCACCTCCCTGTGCACTGAGCATCACTTACTCGACCGTGAACTCGTGCGTGCCCACAGGAATGCAGTAGACAAACTGCATGGCGCTCCACAGCCTGTGAAACTCAACACACTCGTCCACGTGCATGACCCCATTGCTGGGCAGGGGCCCACGCCAAATGGGGTCGTCCAGAAAGGTCCGGATCCGAGTGAGGATGACTTCAAACATGGACAGGCCACAGCACAGACGCTCCTTCGTCAGCAAGTCCCCCTCTCTCGCAATTGCGATTTGCTGTAGAAAGGATGGAAAGTTACCAGGCCAAGGCGGGACGCTGGACCACTGATCACACTACTTACTCCACTGGTTTCCAATCATCTCAGCTCACAGAAGAGGATTTTTACAAATAAGCACCCACAAAATTAATGTCAGCTATTAACTATATGCCTTATATAATTCACGTCCAAGTAGGACTGTTGAGTAGAGCTATTCTTAACCAGGAATGAGTTTGCCCCAGAGGACATATTGACAACGTGTGGACACATTTTTGGTTGTCACAGCTTGGGGTGGGTCTAGTAGCATCTAGTGAATAGAGGTCAGGGACACTGCCAAACATCTTACAGTGCACAGGAAAGCCCCCATAACAAAGAATTAATCTGGTCCAAAATAATGACAGTGCCGAGATGGAGAAGCCCTGATGGAGCTGAGCTGACATAGAAACGTGGAGCTCTGCTCTGACACCGTGCCTCCTGCCTGTCACTCCACATTCTGTTCCTAAAACCCCATGAAAATGCCTTCTTCATGAAAGGATGGACAACAAAAAAAAGTGACATGCACTGCGTCCATCTTACATGCCAGATGATATTCTCAGCACTTTGCATGTGTTATGAGCCCAGCCCTGTCATGGCCTGACACGGATGCCCAGCTCATGAGCAGTGGCCATCACGACATGCGTTACCTGTGGGGTCCCCAGTCTTTCGATCAGAGGAACAAGATGTAGTGGGGCGTACTTTGATTCTAGTCTTTTCATTTTGGCATCAAGTCTCTCTCCCTCTGCAGTGGAAAAAAATATTTTACACTCTATTTTCTATGAAAAATGATTACAAAATTGTCATTTTATCAAAAAACAAGATTTTTAAATTAACAATAAACATACTTTTATAGAACTGGCTCATTTGATATTTTAATTCAAACCGACAACTGATTTTCCGTTCAATATTCACTTTTTTTTAAAACTTACTGGAAATTCCAAATGTCATCAAAAGGCCTTCTGCATCCTGCTGCAACTGCTTCTGGCCCAGCCGCCCAGCACCCCGCCCCTGCTACCCAGAGCACACCAAAGGCATCACATCACTCCACCCCTAAACATGTTCAATATTCATTCAACTATTACACGTTACCAATTACCCCCAGTTAGGACTGAGTAGGCACCAAACTCAGACAAAAGTGGCCTGTAGTTGTGAGCGACACAGACGGTGCATGAGCACTGCAAAGGGCGGTGGGGACCCCAGGGTCACGGACACAGCTCACCTTTCACATGGACCCTCGGCAAGATGTTCTGGAAAGGGGCTGCGTGCAGCAGGTCACACACTTCTTCCAAAGACTAGAACAGAGAGAAGTCGTGTTGGGTGGACAGAAGTCTGGTGCTGAAAACAGGCACAGCGACCCTCGATCAACGCGGGTTTGACTTGTGCGGGTCCGTGTTTTGAGGGTAGTGTGGGCGCCCCTCACTGCGCACTGTTCCCCGCATTGTTGGAGGGCCAGCTGTTTACCTTTCCGTTAGGTGTATAATGAACACTGCGTGAGCAGCAGGACACTGGGACTGTGGCCATGCTCCCTGTTCTCCCATGAGGGTCACTACCACGGGTGGCTGTCAAGTACTCGTAATGTGGCTGGTGCCGCTATGGACTGGGTTGTTAATTCAGTTTTAGTTTAATTTTAATTTAATTTTGACATAGACATGAGTAAAGCCAGCACTGAACGTGGCCTGTTGACCAGAATTTACTGGCATGGCAGCCCCCCTCACCGCCCAGTTTACAAGACAGCAGCACAGATGGGAGGGTGCACTTCCTGTAAATAGCGCTGGAGGCGGGCGAAGCGGTGGCCTCCTCCAGCACCCAGTTCCTGCTCTTGCATCACAAACTCCTTTAAAACGGGAAGGAAAACCCTACACCACACTAGTCCCTTAGAATGTCACGTAGACAGCTTACCGCCAATCTCACGGTGTGCAGAGCCCCTAGAAACCCACCATGAACCCAAGAGCAGGGCCTCCTTCA